TCTATAGATAGATGGATCTATATCATGTTTATTCGACTGGTTACTTCTAGGTTAATAGTTTTCTCTTCTAAATCAATATTTGACAAAATTACTTGATGAAGGAGGAGTTTCAGCACGTGAATAGTAAGAATCCTGTGAATCTAGATGACAGTAAGAACTAACAGACAGCATCCATTTAATTGACACATTTTCTTTGCATATGGTCTGTCTGATTCACATTTTGACCATAGAATATGACTGGCTTGCTTCTGTTTGCCTCAATAGCACAATACTATAAGGTATATATAATTTTAGGAAAATAACTAGATAAAAGTGTAATTTCCAGATAATACAATATCCAATTTTAATGAATGCTGTTTCACAAAGAAATGTGTTCACGATAGTTATTTCACAGCATGTATAACAAATTTTTCAAGCAACGGTATATTGGTGGTAACTACTTTTGAAGAATCATAATAGATTCTAAAGGAAATTATTTTCCCAAGGTAATTTTGGAAACTGTTTTTGGTTTTTGGTTTTTTCTTTTTCTCATAAATTCAAAACCAAACTGTACTTATTATATTTACCAACTGCCTTATTTGAACAGGTATAAAAATCAACTTTTCTTTTGTGGAAGCAGAAAGGTTCAGCTCAAACATCATTGTAGGTAGCAACAATCTAAGTCACAATGACATTAAGTATTCATGTTTCAAAATGATTGTATCACCACTGAAACAGTGTGGTGCTGTCTGTGGCAGGGGATGGTGTCATTCATCAGAAAAACACAAAATTAAAGTGGTCGGAAAAACATTCTTCTTTTATAGGTGATCATATTTTCTTCAGTGAGGGGCATATTTGCAGGACTGTTCTGGGAATTTCTGTTTTGAGGGTATCGAAAAAAAAAAAAGAGCTCTGCAAGCTCTTTAGCTATAGTGACCCTGGGAAAAGTTCTTGAGTCTTTAACATCTACTTGCAGCAACTAATCCCCACCTTGTGTGAAGGCGTGACAGGGTAGCACTAAGGAGTTGGTGTCCTTGCCTGCACTTCTACTGTCTAGTGTTATCAAAGAAACAAGATAACCAAGTTCATGAGTTATGGAAAAAGGCTATTTGAAAGACAACCTCCACAATTTTCCTGTTTGGTGGACAGCAGGCACCTGTGCTGTCATTGAAAAGGTCTGGATATGTACACAAGGGAAGAGAATTCAAAACAATACATGGGACAGAGATGGTCAAAGAGTGAAACAGCAACTCTATTAGCACTGATTCTTTTCAAAAGCTCAAATTCCTGCATCTGCTTCTGAAAGGTGCAGACTGATAAAGACTGAACATATTCTTTGTTGGAAATTTATATAGAAAGCAAACCTAACTCATAGAAAATGCAGCAGCCTCTCAAAAGGCATAGGAAGCATGAAAAGGAGAAATGAGCTACTCCCGACCCTACCCCCCCCCCCCCCTTTACAGCATTGACCTTGAAAGAAAAAATGCACTGAACGAATGATGGAGTGCTATTCATATTTTAGGAATATTTCTCTGTGCAACTGTGAATGACTGAATGTGTTTATTCTGTCTCCAGCCTTAATTCCCAGTCAATCCACTGTCTCTGATTTTTGACCTAATATGATACCTTCTCCTTCAACATTTATAGCCCTTTGAATTACACACTGGTGTAATGTGTATATTCTAGAAATGCAGAAGTAGGGGATGAGGGTATTTTATTAGTACATTTTGTCTGCCTGTTTAAGAAATAAATTCCATATCTGAAAAAGTGTTCTGTAAAAAACTGTTACTCAGTTTTTACATTACATACATGCTGAGGCTTCAACAGTCTTGGATTGTGAATGTACTGGAGGTCAATCCTTCAATAAATAGTGCCTAAGTAAAAAAATAGTCACCAAAAATGTTACAGTTCAGTTTTTATAAAACAACTAAGAAACATTAATTTGATTTACTGCTAGAAAAAAATCTGGCACAAGTTAAGTTGATGGTGGTTTGGATGCTTCAGCAAACATCTGAATACTATGTGCAGTTTTTACTTTTCCAATGAATTTCAACCCAGATACATAAATGAACATTATTTTGTTGGTACAAAAAAAACCCAAAACTAAAACAAAAATGGAGAAACAAAACCCAGGGACAGTTATTCCTTTCATAATGTTCATATTATTACTCTCTTTTTGTGATCTAGCAAATGCCAGCAAGGAATACAGGGAGTGTTTTCATGCCCAGAAGGCACGAGACTAGTTAAAAAATGTAAGACAGAGTAAATCATTTTGCTTAAGGACTGAAGACCCTGATAACTGTAGGAAAAAGATCAGAGTATTGGTCAGTTAATATGGAAAGCTGTGTGGCAGAGAAAAGTCTGTGATCTTTTAAGTAGGGAATTATTCATAAAATTTTACAATATGAAAAGGAAAGAGTCATTGTGGGATTAATTAAGCTGTAGTCCTCCCACATGCTGTCTTGTGGGGAGATTATCTCTGGCAGTATTTTTGGTGCAGAAACCAGGCATCTTCCAGGTTTTAGCTCTTGATTTCTCCCACATAGGAGCAAATCATGAGACAATGAGGAATAGTCTAGTATGTAGAATGCAAGATAAAGATTCAGTTTTGCAGGAAACCTTGGCCTAATTCCCAGGGTTATTATAGACTGTAGCTTTGCAGAAATAATTTAGTTATTTTATACCTCAGTTTTTTTCTCTATTTTAGTACCTATGTAAATCCCAGAAACAACAAAAGGTAAATTCTGTTAGCTGCTGGGAAGGAAACATTTCAGCTACTAAGCTTCCAGGGCTGAATAGGGTCTTTGAGAAGTAGGTAAGGATATGGAGTAGTTGGTTGAGGTGGTCAGGTTCCTGAATGATGACGGTGACAACTCTGTCTATCCTTTAACCACCTGCAAATCTCGGGTCCACTCCTACAAGTGTCCTCTAAGACCATGATATACAACTACTCTGAAAGGTCTCTGTGTGCTAGCAAGTCCTGATACGATACTTGATACCGTTGAACTGTTACCATGTTTACAGCTCATGGAAAATAACATCCCCTCAAACAACTTCTGAGCACATTTAGGGAACAAGGTTGTCCTGTGAACCTATCCATGAGGCAGTTTGCTTTGTCTTCCTCTTCTTGAAACAGGAAAAGTTATTGGTGAAAATATGAGCTGTGCTGTCTCATCTGGGCTTGACACCCAGCAACTGTTCTTATCTAGACTTCATTAACTATATAGCTATGGTCTTTAAACCAGCAGTGTCTGGGACCTTGCCCCCTGAATACTGGTGTTTAATGACATGATGCAGTGTTTTCATTTTCAGAGACACAGCCTGTAGCTTTAGCTAAATAAGTTGAAATAACACAAGCAAGTCCAGATGATCTTAATTCTCCTGTCTTAAGTGGTAACAGCCAGAATTTGTATCTGGTGGCATTGTCAGGAACCACAGCTTTCAGGGTTCTTCACCAGCAGCCTAAGCTTGTCTGATTATTTCCCAAAACTATTAGTCCTATTTCTAGTTACCAACACTGCCATATATAGTTGCAAGAGGGGACAAAATTGCAGCACCTTCTAACTTCCTTGAGACAGAATAATGAGAATAGCCCTAAACAGGAAGCCAGAGGGAAGGAGCTCACTCAACAAATCTGTTCCTTGTTAGTATTACTGATGTGTGGTAGCAGTTTCCTTGTAATAAAGCTCTGAAATGCCATTGCAGATTCCAAGTGATTCTAAACCATTTAGTAGTACTTGAAAATGAGTGCCAAATACTCAATTATTTTCTATACATTGTCCTCCATTTCACCCCAGATGGCTGTTTTACATGCTGCAATAAAGACAGGCTAAAACTGTATTAGACAGAGAAGCTGTATAAGCCTTTACATCTTCCCTTTCTTTTACTAGCATTTTAAGACATTTTTTGTGGGTGTTTGTGTGTGTGGGCTGATGTATGCTTGCTTATGTCTAACCCTTTTATAGTGCTTTGTCCTCATACAAATAATAATGAAAGCACATCAAATAACAGCAGTGGAATTACTATTGCTGCCAAAATGTTCCCATCAAGAAGCTAGACTGTAGCTATCATTATAATAATTTTGAGATGTCGAATGTAGTTAATCCAGGTAGCTCAGCTCCTCTGAAATCTCTGAAGCTTTTCTCCTAAGAGTAAAGGGGCTTACAACTATAAATAAAGATCAGTAAACTGTACCAGGAAAAAAGTCCATCTATGTCGCTGAATGCGTATATACATATATATGTGTATTTGTGTGTATCTCTTCAGCTCCACAACCACGAAATAGATAATTTTAAAGGTTTAAATATTTCAATGTGTCCTTTTTTTACTTTAAGGTTTTAGCTATTCCTCAGGGTGAAAATGAGGAATGTAACAAGAAAGGGACATCGGTTTTAGTCTTTCTCCTTGATCTTCACTGCTCCTCTAAATGCAGTTCTGTGCAGAAATGCCTAATTTAGTAGAGGATGTTAAGTATTCCAGGTGATATTTGTAGTTAATTGAATTGGCATAGCTAATTGTCTTCCTGTTTTACCCCTTCTTGCTACCATTTGTAAAATGGGATTATATGATTTTACTTCGCAGACATGCAATGAGACTGAAAATATAATTTTTACTCCCTTTAAAGGAGGGAAATTACCTAAATGTGTCACGTGTTATGTGAGAACTGGTGTTAAATTAGCGGGTTTGTCTTTGGCCTCTGATTCCTAACATTATTTGCAGAGACAGCTGCGCTTGTTATTCTCTTCCTGAAGACTCATTTTATTTTCTTGATTTCTGCTTTGAGAAAACTTCATTCATTACTCTAAAAGGCAGTAAACTGCATTTCATTTTTTTTCTTACCTTCTATCTCTGCTTGTTTTCCCTTGTTGGTTTCCTTTTTTGTTTTTTTAAGGTCTCCCTCCAAACCACCCGGATTCATTTCTTCAAAACTTTGTTCACGTCAGGAAATATTTCACATCTGAGGCCTATTCCAGTTCTCCAGATCTTCCTTTGACCTTCTGACAACAGTGTTGCAGGCTTACCGCTGGCTGATTTCTCAAGTCCTCCATACTTTTTATTCCACACAGATTGGAGGTATGTGTTGAGGAAAGGAAAGCATTGTAAAATATGTCAGTGATACTTTAAAAATACCTCAGGTAGATAGCACTTATGCTAAGGCACTGGGAAAATGCAGATAAGAAAGTCTCAGAGTGCTATCTGTTCTCTATACTAAATGGTTTACAGTATTTGCATATTACTCAGCCTGCAGGTATAGGGACAATTCCTTCTACATTTTTCATACATATTTTTGCCATGCCCTTCAAGTTCAGTTTGGCCTGTTTAGTGCTTAAAACACGCAATGGGAAGAAATACATCGTAAAGAGATGAGCCTGTAATATCTTCACTTTGCTGTAATGAATGCGAGATATCTGTTGCCATCTCTTAAAAGGTGTTTTGGTGAGCCATATGTTCCACAGAATATACCACAGAGTGCTTACTGTGGAATATTTTGCTAAGGCATTAGGCAGCCATTGCAGAAATAGATGAATGTAGAGAAGTGTAAATGTAACAGCATAAGTGTATACTGTCTTTGTGAGGAGTGAAAGTGATAAGATTTGCATGAAAAAGAGTTTGGAAATGAGCTCTGAGGCCTTGGTGCTTGACAAGACTTGGAGCAATTAGTTGGAACCTTGAAGGACAGGAAAGGTAAACAAGCAAGCCTTGGGAGGATGGGCCAGGATGTAGTTGTGGCAGGAATCGCAGTTGTAGGCCAGAGGACATGGGGGTTGTGAGAGGGTCTGCAACATTGTGATTGGACTATTTACCTGGAGAGTTTTACAGGGGCCAATGAGATTGAACGTTGTATGTATGTGCAGGTTGGGAAAGTACAGAAGAAGGGGGTAAAAAGGGCTTGGTGATGATGAACGAGGATTTGAGTCTCTGCATCAACTTGAGTCCCTGTTGTGAAGTGCCACACTGTCTCATCCTTAATTTTTATTTTGTCAACAGTACTAACAGTTTATAAAAGGTATTTTAGTTACAAATATGCATTATAATTCCATAATTCTAGTGAAACTGAACTTCTTCAGAAAATGTAAATGATTGATTTGCTGGACTCGCAAAGGTATGTAACTTGGCTGTTCCCAGGGTAGTGGCCATAATTCTAAAATTACAGTGAAAACAAAATAACAAAGGTGTTGGGAGGTAAATAATTTTGTTCTGCATCCATGTTGTTTTACTACTGTGTTTGTAGCATCTAATCATGTACATCTAAAATAGCAAAATGAGAAAACCAAGACCCAAGCTTTTTCCTGTTTCTACTCTGAAATACTTCCTCAGCTGAGTGACACTCATCCCTATGGTCCAGTAAGTGACCAGGAAACCTAACTTGCAACAGGGTTTGCAAGATCATATTCTTATGTTGCCATAAAATGCACTTGTTATTTTGATTTCACTTTTGTTCATTGAGCACAGTGAGAGTTTGCACTAGTCATCTTCTAGAATCTAATATCATACACTCAAGCTAGGAGCCTAATTGCCCTTAAATAGTAACTTATTTTGGAAAGAGAAAAGACTAAGGCACATTCAGGCAGTGATGCAGAGCTGCACCAGCATGGTGCTGGTTATCCCTTTGGAGGTCACCAGCCCTCTGCAGTCACATTACAGGAGGCCCAGAGTGACTGAGGTTCCTGGCTTTGATGTCTCAGACAGGTGCTTAAGGTTGGGTTATATGAATCCTCTCTTTCTGTCTGCTTTTGCTTTTCCTGAAAGCTTTAGGCATCCTATTGTTCTTTTGAATAGAAGTAAAGAGACTTCTTCCTCTCTCTCCTCTATCCAGCCCATAAGCAGAGTTTAAGATACACCTTGATTTTCATGACCTATTTTCTTCTGCAATTCAAATTAGTCTTTTTTTAAACCTCAGCATTTTCAGATATTGCCTCTGAAATGACAGTGTTTCTTTTTTTGAAATCTTATTAGAAATGATTTGAAATGCTCTGTTTACAAAAGCTTTCGTCTTATCCAGTAAAACAAATGAATTGACTTACCAGATTTCAGAATACTTGTAAGGTGAGCTTTACAGATCCAATTAAATGTTAAAAGCTATTTGCAGGAACAGTGTGCCTGTCTTCAGACATTCAGCTCACAGTGTGCTTTTCCTAGATCTTCAGATTTGTGAGATGCACCAATAAAATATAGAAAAAGGAATATACTCATTTGAAATAGGTCAGTCTAAGGGTGAAATCCTGACACTGGTCATTTTAACTCTCTGGTGTTCCCAGTAAAGTTCAGGGAGGTTGAGAATGTAATACAGGAAAAAACAGACTGGAGTACAGAAAAGATTTAAGTGAGTGAACTGTACAGTCATGACCCTTATATATAATAAAAACAATTTCTGGGCAAAATTAAGACTGCTGTTAGACGTACATGTACAGATTGACTGCAGATGTATATAGCAGTGTAATTTTTGTCCACTGACTTTTCTACCGCTTGATTAAAAGACTAGACATTTTTCCTTGAGATTCACTCCTCTGCCTAATGTGCTGTAATTGCAACAGAGTGCTTGGTACAGCAGCAATGAGCACTATTCTGTAATAAATCTAGGTCACTGCAGAGTTCATCATGTAGTCCATGCCAACAGGAGATACAGCACTGGTTAGTCCAGCTCTATCTTTTAACTGTAGTGTTAACTGATTCTCCTGTCTAATGACGTTAATAGAGTTAAATGTAGGCAAATTGTGCAAGTCCAAAAGTCTCTTCCTTCCTATGTATGTAATATTTCAGCAAGAGAAATAACGTAACAGCATTATAACAGAAATGTGAACCAGAAGAATTTTTAGCCAAGGAAAAGACATTCACATTTTACCTTGGAGCATTCCATTCCTATTACCATATAATCCCTCAGATCGATATTTTTGAATCCTTTTGTTTTTACAACCCCCTACGCTTATTTCTCTAGTGAAAAGCAGATGGAAATAGTGCAAGGCTTTCAGAAGCATTGATTGCAATTGCTAAGTATTTGGAATGAGTTTGGGGAGCACTTTGCTGCATGATTTCTTTTCCTTTCTGCTTATTTATTTGACCTTGTGCTGAGAATATTTTATTCATTGAGCTTGTTTGAAAATTGGCCATTCATATTAAATCCTAGCTGCAGGCTATTTGTAAGTTTTTTCACTTCAAGGTTTTTTTAAGTTTTATTGTTTCACCATCTTCATACACTGTTCTCATGCTGCAGTAGGAGTACCAGTAGGATTGAAATACTGTACCCTCGCTTGCATAAAACTGCACAACTCACATTTTCTTCATTTAGTTAGGTATTTTAATATTTTACTGTGGCTGATAATGTTGCTTGTTGATTACCATATCTCCCATGAAAAGACAGAGAGAAAAGCTCAAGGAGTTGAAGCATAAACATAAAGCAGTGGGATATGAAAAAAAAAAAGCAATAGGGTGGGGATATGGTTTAAGTTTAACATATAATTAGAAGTGGGAACAATGAACTGAAGTGGACTACAGAAGGTGGACACTTGGGTATTTTTTAGCTTTGAAGATCTTAGTTTTAAGAATCTCAAATAATTTTGAAGAATTTAATAATAGTAGGTAGTGCCACATAAACCTCTTGTAGCTATGAATGTCAAGAAAAATGGCAAAAAAAGGGCATTTTAAAAGAATATGGACTGCAGAAAGATATGAGTAAATTGCCTAACAAAAGCATCAGGTTGCATCTATCCTAGTTATTTGGTTTGTGGCAAATCTGAAGTATTGAACCTGCATTATTAGGATGCATGTTTTGAAGGGAATCTAAGGAAGCTAAAAGCTTACCTGTAACCAATAGGTTCTTGAGCATTCCTGAGTTCATCTATTATTTCCTTGTAAAATTTTTCCCATGTGAGTTCCTAAGATGGAGCTTTTTTTTTGGTCCATAAACTTGATTTCTGTTAGAATCTTTTCAAAGACACCTCAAAGATGAAGTCTAAACTGTTGTGTGGTATTAGATGACCGATGGCCTACTTAACTAGATTTTCTCTGCAGATTTCCCTAATTATTCTTCAGTTTCCAGATTATTTATTTTTGGTTTATAGCAGAGCACTTCTGAAACATATAGACCCGAATATTCATGACATATAAACTATCTTTAGTGAAGTCAGTGAAGCTGCACAAATTTGTGTCAGCTAATAAGCTAATGCACATTTTATACAGCTCTTGCTTATGGAAAAGGTTAATGTTTTTAAGGCCTTCATTTGATGGTCTATGAAGTAGTGTTTATTACAAGGTATGTGTGTGTCCTGGCTTTAGCAGTAGCAGTCATTTTTTCTCCTTCTTAGTAGCCGGTGCAGCGCTGTGTTTTGACTTTCAGCCTGGGAACAGTGCTGGTAACACTGATGTTTTTAGTTGCTACTCGGTAATGTTTACTCTGACCAAGGACTTTGTGAGTCTCATGCTCTGCCAGGGAGGAGGGGAAGTCAGGAGGAAGGAGAGACAGGACATCTGACCCAAGGTAGCCAAAGAGGTATTCCATACCACAGCACGTCATGCCCAGGGTGTAACTGAGAGTTACCCGAAAGGGCTAGAGGACTGGGGGGTTGGAGCAGGTATGGGTTGGTGCTTGGTCAGGCTGGGGGCGCGAGTTATCGGTCGGCAAGTGGTGAGGTGCTGTATTCTCTTCCCTTGTTATTTCCTTTATCATTATTATTATTGGTGGTAGCAGTAGTGATTTGTGTTATACCTTAGTTACTAAACTGTTCTTATCTCAACCTGTGGGAGTTGAATTCTTTTTGATTCTTCTCTCTGTCCCTCCGGGAGTAGGGGGAGGGAAAGAAGGGGGGCAGTGAGTGAACGAGCTGCCTGACTGGTTTTAAACCACGACAGTGTGGAAAGATACACTTTTGAGAGAGAAATTATGAAAGAAATTACAGTTTTGTTTATATCTTATAGAAATTACTTACATGGCGAAGAAAAGAGCGATAAAGGAGAATTTCAAATATGTTCCAAAATTCCACATTTTCAGACCGTTTCACCAAATACAAGTCTGACCTAAATCTGCAGCTATATGACACAGCTCACTCCTTTTTAAAACAATACTGTACTGCTTATGGCTCCTG